AGCTGTGGCTCCTGTGTCAGGATACCATTCACTGCCTGTAGGATCCTCAAGATGTGTGGCTGTTAGAGCTTGAGGAATAGCTTCGTCTTGATAAGAATTGTCGAACCGATACCAACATCGAAGTGCATCGTGCCCTGGTCGTTTGCAGATTTGACATGCTACGCGAATTCCATCTGTCTCTTTCACAACCTGTAAATTCTTATAAGTTACAGAGGTTTGAGTGGGATAAGATTTAGTCTCTTGATATCTCTGTGAAGAATCAGCATGTGGTCGAAAACCAGGACCTGCACTATAGGTGTTAGTCTGTGGTTTAAAACGCTGAGCCTCCTGATCGTGGGTCAGACTAAATGATCTATAATTCTGACTTCTTCCTTGATAACCATAACCACGACCTCGATTGTCGAAGGAACGACCTCTGCCATAGTTTCGTCCTCCCCTGAAGCTACCTCTCTGTCCCATAAAAGCCAGATTAGGCTGATTAAGTTCTTTGCTAGTAACTATCTTCGGTTCCATCTCAACATTTCTTTCTCCGTAATATGCCAAGTTAGGATTAAACTGATTCAAGGAATAGTTCTGCAGTCTTGTTTCAAATCTTTCTAGCTGTGATATCACCTCATCATAATCAGGTTGAGGTTTCAAACAATACATGGTTGTTTTGAAGTTTTCATACTCAGATCCTAGTCCTTCCAAGACGCCAAAAACTTTAGTTATTTCATCCACAGGTTTTCCTATTGCATTTAACTGATCGCAAATCAGTTTGTACTCTCTAAGATAATCAGATAGCTGTCTATTTCGTTTCTGACATGCCTGCAGTTTCCCCCTCAACTCAAACTCCCTAGCTACTGATTTCTATGTGAATCTATTCAGCAAAGTCTGCCATACCTCATAGGATGTTTCCAGGCTGATGATTAGCCCCAGGATATTCTCAGAAACTGCACCACTTATCCATGAAGATACCAGTTGATCAGTTTTCACCCAATCAGTGTAATCAAGATTGACTACTGCGACCTCTCTCCCGTCAACTTCAGCTTGTATTATCTGTGGAGGTGATGGAATTTCTCCATTGATGAAGCCAAATAGCTCTTGACTGCGAAGAAATCTATAAAACTGAGCTTGCCAGAGAAGAAAGTTGTCTTCAGCAAGCTTGATTGTAACGAAGTTAGTAATGTTGACATGAATAGGAAAAGGATATCTCGGTGTTCTTGCTGCCATTGTTGCGTTCTTCAACGAATGAGATCAGAGTTCACAGCTTTGCTCTCAGAGATAGCTCTGATACCATGTGAAAAATGCTAGAGAAAAGGAAGAAAGAAGAAAAAAAAATCTATAGTTGAAGAACTTGAACTTCATCTGAGAGCTCAACATTTACTCTCGTGTATCTTGCTGTTTATATACAAACCACAAAACTAACACTTGAGTTAACAGCTCATATACCAGAAAATGCAACTGAACAACTAAACTAACAGAAGAAACAAATCTTGTTGAACTGAACTAACAGAATACTAACTACTCTGTTTTTCCTTTGCTCTAAGAATAGAAATCAGTTACATAGAACAGCGTATAGAAGACTTTGAAGACTTCCTTCAGCTTTCCACATCTTCTTTCTTTCCTGTATTCTCAACATGTGCCTGGTCAACCATCATTATTCATTGACTAGATTTGAGATTCGCATTGTCTGTGATTCTACATGATCTCACGGTGCTCTCTAAACTTCGTTCGATTGGATCTTTCGAGATTAAAACTAATCTTGCGAGTTAGTCATCACGAATGTTCAAATGGAACTTGACGTTAACATTGGCGTTTCTGAATATATGCTCGAGCAATTTCTAAATGTTGACTCATCACCAAACTAAAACAATTGCATTTATATGTGAAGGCAAAGATTATCTGGAGGCCTACTCCCACCCTGAAGCAGCACACCTTCGACCCCACGTGCCGGCTGTTCATGAGCATCACAGACCCTCAGCGTCTCGATGCTTGCCGACCACTTCCACGTGTTCCTCAAGGGGGTTGTTGACCTCCCCCTCAAAGTCCCTGGCACAAACTTTTGCCGGTCAAAGAAAGCGGCTGATTCCATTAGGAAGGAGCTCCAGATGTTGGTGAAGCGGCGCCGGACGGAGCTGGAGAAGAAGACGGCATCCTGAGCAAGACATCATGTCGCACCTGATTGCGAACGGGGACGAGAACGGGAAGCTCATGCCCAAGGCGGAGATCATAAACAACATGTTGAACCTCCTATTCACTGGCTACGATACGTCCGCTTCGACTCTAGTGTTGATCATCAAGTACCTGAGTGAGCTGCCTCATGTACTGGAGAAGGTCATTGCCGGTTAGTCCCACTCTGTCCCTGATTTTCCTAGTCACCAGTGCAATTTCATTGGCCTACATGTACGTACTTAACATTCGCATTCGCCAGAGCAAAGGGAAATCGCCGCATCGAAGGGGCGGGGTGAGCTTCTTCACTGGGGGGATTTGCGGAAGATGAGATACTCCTGGAATGTCATCTCGGAAGTCATGAGGATGACTGCGCCAGTATACGGTTCTTTCCGCGAGGCCCTGGTTAATTTCATGTACGAAGCACACACCATTCCCAAAGGCTGGAAGGTAAATGCATATGTTCATTCTCTGTTAATACGTCACACCTGCTTATGTCCTACTTGAGAGTGCGTGCTCAAACGGGCCTGCAGTGCGAAATGGACGAGCCCTAGGCAACGCGGTTTTCGTTCTTGGATAAAGGCTTACTCGTTTGTTTCTTGATTTGTCATGCGTAATTACATAGGAGTACATGCTTAACACACAAAGATCCAAACTACTACCCAAGAACGCTGACCTTCGACGAATCGAGATTCGAGGGATCGGGACCTGCTCCAAATACGTACATCCCATTTGGAGGCGGGCCGAGGATGTGGTTGGGGCTCGAGTTCACGAGGACGGAGCTGCTCGTGTTCTTGCACAATCTGGTGAATCAATTTCACTGGAGTCTGGTCAATCCCGATGAGAAAATAATCTACGAGCCCATGCCTATACCGGTTGAAGGACTTCCCATCCGTCTTCGAACTCGCGACTAGCTTCTTCTTTCTTCTATGGAGATTAGCCACTTGATGTGGAACTTAATTATCAATAAGCTACGTGCTTGTTTCTGCCTTACTGTGAAGCCTAAACGCTTGGCATCCAAATAATTGATCCCTTATGTTTGTGTATCTTACAGTTCTGAGAGCTTTCGTTTGCTTGATGTTTGTCAAATAAGCTCGCAATGATGAGGATAAACTTTTGATAATTCTCGAAAAAAAAATGAGCTTTGCTAGCATAACAGATTTTGAGCTACTGTTAGAATAACAGTATGTTATGAGACACAAATTCTAGAATGAATGGACCCACAACAAATTTTAATTATTTGTTTTTTTTGTGGACCAAAATAAGCCATTATTCTCAGAATAGATTGAGGACAGTTACATAAGCATTTCTCAATTTACAACGCCTTGCCTACACCAGTTAAAGGACCTGCGCCTTGCGACTAGCCTTTTCTTTACTAGGCAAATATCACAAAAAAACCCTCAAAGTATGCCTATTGTGACACAAATACCCTCAACTTTTTTCTGTCACGAAAAAACTTAAACTTATACATGTGTGAACATATATGTCCTCTATTATAGTTCCATCCAGGGTATATTTATTACATTGGTATAAGTTCCGGATTTTTTTATGATACAAAAAAAAATTTTAGGGTATTTGTATCACGGCAAGAATAGTTTTGAGTTTTTTTGTAGTGTTAACCCTTCTTTATTCTACGGAGATTAGCCACCTGACGTACCACTTAATTACCAAGAAGCTATTTGCTTGCGTTTGCCTTGCTATGAAAGCCTGAACGCTTGGCACCCGAATTATATTGTAAGTCCCGTTTGTTTTGCGTATCTCAACATTTCTAAGAAGAAGGCAAAGGCGAAATAGCTCGTGGCATTGAGACATGGAAAAAAGAAAGCAAATAGAGTCCCGCACGTCAACGAAGGAGGGGCCTAGACGGCTTCGCACCTTCCGTGGCCCTCTATGTGTGCTATCCATGGGTGGTGTTGTTGCATCTATTCTTTAGCCCGTTATGGCAAATCGAAACCTAAATCATGTCTTTATCTAAGAACTCGAATGTGCATGGTAGTGAAAAGATCCTTAGTTTCAAAAGCTCTCTAAACACTTCATTCCCCCACTCACCCAATTATGAATCTTTATGCTGCAGTTTTAGGTTGAATCCGAACCTAAACATAAGGGGGGAGTGCCGGTAGATTTTGTTCGTCCTAGATAATCAGTCTTCGTCCAAGCCTCTATCTATCTCGTGTGCGAGACTCTGTCTATGTTGAGATGTGCGAGTGAATTGTGTTAGAGAAATCCCACATCGGAGAATTGATGCGGTGTGGAGCAATTAATATATCTTACTTGTCTCAAAACTCATTAGCTTAATTAAGCTTTTGCGTGAAGGTGAATACAATTAAATATGTTAACGAGCTCGGATTTGGATTTTCCTCTTGGCGATTCTTCGAGTAAAAGACTCATACTTCTACTACTCTCTCCCAACTACCTAAAGGCCTCATTCAAAAGGGGAAAATTATCAAAAAAAAAAGTCTTAAATCTATTGCATTTGTGCCAATTTAGTTCTAAACCTTTTTTTTTGTGACAATTTAGTCCTAAACCTTTTGACATAATGTTTTCCAGTTTTACATGACTTTAACAACTCATATGCTTCCTAGTTTATCCGTACATATAATTTAGAGTTAGGAGAAGATGGGTCATCTTTGAAGACAATAATCAATTACAACATACGCATTGTTGACAAACAACTCAGACATTTTCCTAAGGGTCAAGAGGAAAAGAGGGGAATGGGGCTCGAACGACCAATCGATTCATGACATAAAATAACTACGAACGTTCGTTCCCCACGGTCAATAAGGTCAGTTGTTAGTGGGTGTCTTGAGGTTACAAAATTATAAACCCAACCTTATCTACAAATATTATATCCTATGGAAAAGATAAACTTCAATAATTGCGGCATCGAAAGGCGTGAAACATGTGAAGTCCGCTCTCATATGCAAAGCCCCAACTTCACCGGTGCCGTCACCCGATTGAAATTTCTTCTCAAAAACATTGCTCTCCCTTGTTCCTTATTGAAGCAAAATTTTGAGAAGCCATGCAAGTTTTGACCCTAGTCCCGGTCTTGGCTCTCCTCCTCGCCCTCGCCTTCATCAAATTACTCAAACCCAAAACCGCCCGCCCAAACCTCCCGCCGGGGAGCTTCGGGTGGCCGGTCATCGGCGAGAGCCTCGAGTTCCTCCGTTGCCAACGCGGCGGGCACCCGGAGAAGTTTGTCCGGGACCGGATGAGCAGGTACAACTCCCCCGTCTTCAAGACCTCACTGCTGGGCGAGCGGATGGCGGTCTTGTGCGGGCCGGCCGGCAACAAGTTCCTGTTCTCGAACGAGGGCAAGAAGGTGGCGCTGTGGTGGCCAAGCTCGGTCGGGAAGCTGATGGGGAGGTGCCTCGTCTCCAAGGCCGGCGACGAGGCGAGGTTGGACAAGAAGATGCTCATGAGCTTCTTCAACCCGGAGGCGCTCATGAGGAGCGTTGGGGTCATCGATGAGTTCACCAAGGACCATCTCAGGACTCAGTGGGAAGGTATGTGCCTAATCAACCATCATTAACCTTCAATTAGATTTGAGATCTGCATCTCTTCTGATTTCCACAATGGATCTCACTGTACTCTCTAAACTTCGTTTGACTGGATCTATCAAAACGAGTTTCTAACGTGAAGATACGAATACGTAGCTGAAGTATAACTCTGCTTGTTTATCCTAAAAACAAAGAAAGAAAAAACATCTATTGCTTGCAGATATTTGTGTTGGAATGTGGCATCTGTGCATTGGATACTATCGGATTCTCGACTTTAATTATTCGTTCTAAAGATATATATGATCCTCGCAATACGGGTCGTCACTGTGGTTTTGTCAACGCTCTACGTTTTTTAAGTCATCACTGGCTTGTCACTTTCCCAATAGATGGTGCACCGATGATGAAGTTTTGCGAAATAATCGGATGAATCCCGTTGACGAGGGGCGGCGTCTGGTATTTGAAATCTTAGAATCGAGAAATCATTTTGTAAAAGAAAACGCACATGGAAAAGTATCTCCCTAGATAAATATTCGTTCTAATGGAACGTGATATTAGGATCGGCATCCCTGAACATATGCTTGAGCAATTTCTAAATGTTAATTGATCAACAATCCAAGACGATTGCTTCTATATGTCAAGGCAAAGATCGGCTGGAGGCCTACTCCACCCTGAAGCAGCACACCTTCAGCCTCGCATGCCGGCTGTTCATGAGCATCACAGACCCGCAGATCGTCTCGAGGCTCGCCGACCACTTCCACGTGTTCCTCAGGGGAGTCGTCGGCCTCCCCCTTGACGTCCCCGGCACAAGCTTTTACCAGTCGAAGAAAGCGGCCAATTCCATCAGGAAGGAGCTCCGGGTGTTGGTGAAGTGGCGCCGGACAGAGCTGGAGAGGAAGACGGCGTCCCCTTCGCAAGACATCATGTCGCACCTGATTGCAAATGGGGATGAGAACGGGAAGCTCATGCCCGAGGCAGAGATCATAAACAACATGTTGAACCTCCTATTCGCTGGCCATGATACTTCCACTTCGACTCTAGTGTTGATCATCAAGTACCTGAGTGAGCTGCCTCATGTACTGGAGAAGGTCATTGCCGGTTAGTCCCTCTCTGTCCCTGAGTTTCCCTAGTCACCAGTGCAATTTCATCGGCCTACATTTGCGTACTTAACATTCTCATTCGCCAGAGCAAAGGGAAATCGCGGCATCGAAGGCACGAGGAGAGCTTCTTCAGTGGGGGGATTTGCAGAAGATGAGATACTCGTGGAATGCCATCTTGGAAGTCATGAGGATGACTGCGCCAATATATGGTTCTTTCCGCAAGGCCCTGGTTGATTTCACGTACGAAGGATACACCATTCCTAAAGGCTGGAAGGTAAATGCATTCGTTCATTCTTCGTAACACATCGTCGTTCATTGTCCTAGAAGAGTTATGCAGCAACGGTGGGCTTATTCGTTTGTTCATTGATCTGTCATGCGCAGTTACACTGGAGCGCATGTTCAACACACACAGACCGGAACTACCACCCGAGAACGCTCACCTTTGATGAATCGAGATTCGAGGGATCGGGGCCTGCTCCGTATACGTACGTCCCGTTCGGAGGCGGGCCAAGGATGTGTTTGGGGCTCGAGTTTGCGAGGGCGGAGTTACTCGTGTTCTTCCACAATCTCGTCATTGGATTTCACTGGAGTCTGGTCAATCCCGACGAGAAAATAATCTACGACCCTATGCCTATACCAGTGAAAGGACTTCCCATCCGTCTTCGACCTCGCGACTAGCTTCTTCTTTCTTCTATATTTGCTTCGTTTTCTGTCTTACTATGAAGCTTGAACGCTTAGCATCCCAATTGTTGGAAAGTCCCTTTAATGTTTGCGCATCTTACATTTCCGAGGGCTTTCGTCCGATTGATTCCTGTTGATTAAGATCACGATGCTTAGATAATTCTGGAAAGGAAAAGAAAAACTCAATGAAGCATTAAAATTTTCAGATCGAATTCTTATTTGATCAGTCACTAGAAATTAATAAAAGAGGAGCAATTAAACTACAACATTGATAAACCATTTTGGAAACATAATTATCAATGTTGTGCTCTCTCATTTAAGAAAAGCTCGATGGGTCATTCTCAATGAAATTATTGCGGATTGCATCGTCATCGTCAACGACCATACCATGCCCAATTTAATTCGGGCATCATGTTGCTTGATGGAGACGTGCAAACCACTTTAGCACAACGAACTCGTTTTGTTTGGCCGTGGCAACATCAAAAAGCAACGTTACCCAACCAATTTGCGTGCGGGAAGCCGGCTCTATCATCATAGACCCCAGAGATGATAATCATACCGTATCCGGATTCTTGGCACAACCCTGACACTGCCTTCCCCCAAACCAATTGCAACAACCCTTTCGCATCTCTTATACTTCACCGCCACAAAGCATTGCTCGTGCTAAATCAAATCACGCGCTACCTATTGGGTGAGTTCATGTAAAGTGACTGGCTATGATACAAGTGCACATAGGTGGTATATAACCTTTCAACGATAGCTTTTTTCCAGATGGCTTGCGACCGGCGAGGGCGAGGCTGGGACCCTCGCCCAATGGCCGGCGACCCTCGCTGGATGTAGAAGAAAAAGAAAAGAAAAAAATATATAAAAAATCTAATTTTTTAAAAAAGTATATAAAATTCTCCATTAAATTTATGTTTTAACAATATAATTTTAAAAAAATAAGAAACAAGTTTTCTTATATTGGGTTAATTTTGTAAGTATTTTAGTTATATGGGTAGAGTATGGATCGAGAAATTCGCACTGCGAATAAATGGATTAATCGGTCAATTTGACCCGATCCAAATCCGTCCAATTTACCTGCTTGACAGGTCTAAATCAGTTAGGCAGATCTAATTAAGGCCTCTTTTGGTTCAACATTTTGGGAAAAGGCTTTTGGCCTAGCATTTGGAATGCTGAAGCCTATTTTTCCCTTCCCAAATTGCCCTCACTCAAATTTCTTTATTCCGATTTTGCCCATGTTACTGTTCATCTTCTTCACCGTGAGGGTGGCCGGCGAAGGGCCGGCGAGGGCGGATCTGGCTAATGAAGGGCCGGTGAGGTCGCCCGACCTAGGCAACGGCCGCCTGGGGTCGGGCGACCGCCCACACGCCGTCGCCTGGGTTGCGTGACCTCAAGCAACGTCGGCCTGGGTTGCGACCCTGGCGGCCGTCGCTAGGGTCACGACCCAGGCCGACGTTGCCTGAGGTCGCGCGACCCAGGCGACGGCGCCTGGGCGGTCGCCCGACCCCAGGCGGCCGTCGCTTGGGTCGGGCGACCTCGCCGGCCCTTCGCTGGCCCTTCGTCGGCCAGATCCGCCCTCGCCGGCCCTTTGCCGGCCACCCTCGCCGGCCACCCTCACGGTGAAAAAGATGAACAGTATTCGAGGCAAAACCAAAATATTAAAAATAAAAATTGCCAAAGCCCTTTGCAAAATTTTTTTTATTAAACACTATTTAGGCCAAAGTAGCTTCACAAATTTTTTTTTACCAAACATCACTTGCATTTTTCCAAGTGACTTTCACCTAAAGGTATTTGCATTCCCCCAAGTAGCATTTGAAAAGCCGAACCAAACGGGCCCTAATAGAGTTTCCAGGTTATAAAAGACGCTTATGCGCAATCCCTTTGCGCATACTCATCATGGACTCACTACTACCTGCTTCATACTTGCTCGCTGTCCTCATTGCCCTCCCCACTTTAGCCGTTTTCCTCTCCATCGCTAAAAGAAGAGTTTCCAGAAAATCATCTCCCCACGGTACTCCTCCTGGCCAATTTGGATGGCCCATCTTAGGCGAAACCCTAGAGCTGCTCCGTGCGGGCAGGGAAGGGAGGCCCGGGAGCTTCCTGGACAAGCGAGTCGACAAGCACGGGCCGTGCGTCTTCACCACATCCCTCTTCGGCGAGCCGACCGCTGTGTTCTGCGGCGCCGCGGGGAACAAGTTCCTCTTCGGCAACGAGAACAGGAAGGTGACAGTGTCGTGGCCGAGCTCGGCGGTCAAGCTGCTCGGCTCATGTATAATCACCCTGGCCGGTGAGGAAGGAAAGGTGATGAGGAGGATGCTAATGAGCATTTTCGACCAGGAAGCCCTCAGGAGGTTCACCATGATCATGGATGAAGTCACTTGCAATCATATCAAAGCTAATTGGGAAGGTATAGCTATATACCATATGATCTACATGTCAATTATCTGCCCACGAAGATACAGCTTGGGTATTTTAACCTTGGAGTTCGGACTTTATATTACTGACCCAGAACCATAAACCTCCATGTGAATGACAAACGCAGGTCCAAGAAACACTTAAGAGTCCACACCAATATATCACCTTCAAAAGGACCTGGCTCTTGAAGTTCAATGTATATGTAAACAATTTAATCGAGAAATTGATGGCATTGAAACTTCTGGTCTCTTTAGTTCGTTAATTACCTTACTTCTCAAGCCAATTAAAACTCTCCCCGTACTGTGGCAATTACAGGACCACTGTATTGCCTATAGTCTTTGATCTCTAGACTATTCATGTTTCTTATATTCTCAACGTCATTAATGAAAATTTGAGGAATATGTAGAAAACTTTGATAGTTCAGGACAACAGAAACATGGAAATTTTGAGCGACGATCTTCTTATTGTCCTGATGTTCTTCGGCATCATTAAAGGCAAAGAAGAGGTGCTCGTGTACCCGACCATCAAGCACTACATCTTCGAGCTCACGTGCCAGCTCTTCCTGAGCATCCGCGATCCACGAGAGATTGCGGACCTCGCACGCCCCTTCGCCGCATTCCTCGAAGGCGTCATAAGCGTCCCTGTCGACCTGCCCGGGACGAGATTCCATGGCGCGAAGAGGGCGGCCAGGTCCATCAGGAAGATGCTCCGAGGGATCATCAAGGAGAGGAGGGCGGCCATGGAGAAGAAGGGGGCAGCGTCCCCGACGCAGGACCTGCTGTCGTATTTGATGGTCACCGCGGACGAGAATGGCCGGTTCTTGACCGAGTCGGAGATCATCAACAACCTGCTCATGCTGCTGGTCGCGAGCCACGACACTACGAGCTGCACCATGACCATGGTGATCAAGTTTCTCGGAGAGTTGTCTCATGTCTACGAGAAAGTTTTGGCTGGTGAGTCTCCTTACCCTTGTGGTTATCCATCTGTTTTACTGTCGTTGATAATCTTTTCGTTCGTGCATGCATGCAATGTCTTTCTGGGAATTGCTACGAGCAGAGCAGAGAGAGATCGCCATGCAAAAGAAATCAGCGGGAGAGGGATTGACGAGAGAAGATGTGCAGAAGATGAGAGATACATGGAGCGTGGTTTTGGAGATCATGAGGCTTGTGCCGCCTGTTATTGGAGGTTTCAGAGTCGCCTTGGAGGATTTCACCTTCGGTGGTTTTACCATTCCCAAGGGACGGAAGGTACGTGAAAAGAAACATAATTTCTTCTAGGACCCGGCTACCATAACGGTACCGTAAGAATAAAATTCTGACGGTGCAATACTAGCCACAATTTTTAATGGAGGAAACTTGCATACTGCTTTGTCCGGTTTAAGCTTTTTTTGACTTTCCATTGTTACCGGGCTTAATTTAAGATTAGAGGATTTAAAAAGGCGCAAGAAGGACCAATCTAAAAGGGAAACCCTCTTCGACCAAAAAAAAAAAAAGGGAAACCCTCACCAATTCTAGTAAGTGAAATTTCTTGAATATAAAAAGAAAAAAATTAAATACCAAATATAGCTAATTACAAGTAGAAAAATATTAAACTAACTAAAAGGAAATCATTAATGTCATTGGAAAGATCTATCAAAATTCAAAAATGAAAAACACTTGAAATGTTGGCATTATAACTAATAACAAATTCATTGTGCATTGAATGGCTCCTAATTCTTTTCAATCAAATCAAATTGATATAGAGGGATTCTCTGATGACCTGAAATCAAGACTAGCGATATCAATTTTGTATAAAACAGGTGAATGAAAGACAAGATCAAAATATAAATAATAAATTAGTAGACGAAAAAATTACCCTGTGTATTTGAATCTCATAGATGAAGATGTGCAAGGACTTGAAACATTGCAACTTAGAATCACGATGAAGCAGTCGAAAAGTGATTTTCTCTCCCTCTCTCGTCATCGTCTTATTAAACCTTTGTTCCAAGAAAATATCCATTATTTTAAAAGTTGCAAATGAATCCTTCATATGTTACTTATTGTTTTAATATTATCATTTGTTTCTTTAAATAAAACTGAAAAAAAAAACTCTCATTATGTGCCTTTTTAAACTTGTGGAAATCTCATTATGTATCCCACATTCCAACTTTAAAACTAGGGGTTAGCAATTGACCGTTCATTTTGTGAAAATAACGGGACCGTTCTCTACTCATTTCCCTTTCTTCTATAATATTTTGCACAAATCGAGGTAGGATTTCAAATCTTTCGACCCGGTTAGTTATCAAAAAATAAAAAATTTAAATTGAGGAGAATAAAAGAAAGGAAAAGAGCCACCGAAAATGTCACGCCCCGTACCCCACGAAGCGACAACATCCCGCGTACAGGTCGAAATTGTGGTGCGACGCTCTCAGGCTACGTCACCGACCCGAAAACCCAAATCAGAGAAAAACACGACACATGCGGAAATGACGTATATAATATATATATATATACACCCGGACAATAAACAAAGCAACCATGAATAGCAAAACACAAGATTGTCAGGATGATAAAACTAAAACACGTATACACACTTTACTGATAATAGTATATACAATATCCACATACGAGAAGTACAACTAACATCGAATGATCTAGAGGTGGCCACGGTTCGGAACCGACCGGTTCCGGTTCGTGGCCAAGT